CGAGTAAACGTTGCGGCATCTCTACAGCCTCCAGCGGTATACGAGGAAGGAATAGCAATCCAATGAGTCATCCAATAATTATTTTTCAATATTACACCAAAGCTAATTCAGCGAGGAGTGAACTTGCTTCCTAAACGACGGACTACTAATACGTCGAATACTATGTCCGTTGTTCAAGCAAATTAAAATTCTATAAGATCGTGTTATCTATTTGAAATAATAAAACGATTGGTTGCTTAGTGCAGACTGTTTATTCAATAAAATATTAAATTATCAGCTTCATATTTGTAGAAGAATTTTAAATTCTTTATGCTTACACTGTACCAATATGGATAAAAAATACATTAGTAAAGTTGGCAGCCCTGGGCGTGGGAATAGCTTGAGTTTTGCATGTCTTATTAGTGAGGCGAGGCAAGTGATTCACCAGCAGGGAGCGCGTCTACATTGCAAATTATGCTCTGGAATCGATGACGACATCGGTTACGTCATGATAATATAAACAGTTTAACCAGGAACAAAAGACGTTAAAACTTTCATTCTAAACCTCCTGCAAGGTTAATAGTTTCTCATACGTTGCCACCGAAGAAATCCCTAGTCTCTCCAACTAGTATTCCATATGGTGCTACGGTCTACTTTCCTAGTTAGTCTCTCCCAGTACGCTCTGTCTGACATTTTCGTCAACCATGGCTTCCAGCACTACACCTTTTCACCTTGTTCTTGTCTTTGCCTCTGGGTAACGACCATAAAGGGAAGGTGGTTGTAGGTGGTCGAGCTTCAGCCTTCCTACTCTATGTTAGGGGCGTGTGTCTACTATATACATGTTATTCCTATGGAACTCAATTATTTTTAGACAATAAATGTTGGTTTCATAAAAGCAACGTAGTAAAATAGTTATTTAGAATTATGGCGTAATATCGCAATGGCAAGTTGGTTCGGTGACAAGACGGCCGTCGTCGCGTGGCTGTCTTCCAGCTTTTCGCCGGCTGCCGGTAGATACTAGCAGTAAATTTATGTCTATTCATTCCAGAGAATATTATCTATCATATTTACAGAAAACAATTGAGTTGTGGTTTCACAAACGAATATTATCATTCGGTTGTGTGGTTTTTTTCTAACGTCCTCGTATTTAAAAATAAGAGTGATGTTGTCATTAATAAAGAAGATCTCTTTTCATGGATAAATTCACTTTCCATCTATCAAAAATTATGTTCAATTTTTTTTATTCGATTACAACATAAATTATTCATTGGCATATTGATGCAGTCTCCAAATAAAAAAAAAATGTGTCGTTTGTTGGAACAATTTTTTTGGTCGCAATGCGGTCTGTAGGCGTCGCGACGTCTGCGAGCCGCGGGCCTCGCGACTGCCGACTGCGGAAAACATTAAAATGTATTGTCGGCGATGATTATACATAGCTTTTATGTGTATAAGCAATGTCTGTGTTTAGGGCTGCCAACTTTCAATTAATGTAATCAAAAATACTGGAGACAAAAAAAGAAAACACTAACAATTATATACCCTTAACTCCTTGAGAGACAATTATAAAGCAAAAGAGTTTTGCGCCACTCAATATGATCAAAGGACATCGATGTTATGCTGTAGACTCAAAACTAAATAGTTCAGATCAAGACTGAAAAACTATAGTATATTTCTTATTATAACTATATTAATGTAAATATATTTAAATGGTATATTCCAAGTAACTTTATAGTAGGTGTAGCGAATTGCTTGTGTTTGTTCGAACTTTGTTTAGGCGTCGCGGTCGCAAATAGGGCCACGCGGCGCGCCGTGTCGCCACTGACTAAACATTGCACGCAGTGTTTATTTCTAATGCCTCTCTCTATACTGTAATATTTTATATTTGCTGGCACATATACTAAGGATACATATTCTAATACAAAATTCCTATATGTTTAATACTACAATTTCTTGCTAAATTGCTACCGCATATGTGTTAACTTTTGTCTTCGTTTACGTAGCACGGACAAAGTAGACAGTTGGAATTTAACCTGTCATGTAATATATCTTCGTCTTCAGATTATATCGTTGGATCTAGAATGTTCTAGACGTCACTTCATTGGTATGCACCACGGGCCACCTGTCTGCCGCGCCCCGGCCTTGCGTCTCTCATCACAACATTTCTTTCCGCAATTTGAATGAATTTTATTGTTGAAACAGTTGAAAGTAGGATTATTAAGATTTTTCCAGAGTTGTGCATTCCATTCCATTCATTGTGCTGTTGTTATTTACAGTTTGACCTCTAAAGTAAAAAATAGAGGCAAAAACAATGCGTTTTATTTTGTCAAAATCTATTTGCCGTTCAAAAAATATTAGATGCGTTTATTAAAATAAAGATCAAGGTTAATTTTGTATTAATAAATTGTGCTTCTTCTAGAAACTTAATTTTTTGACGCGATCACTCGCCAACTGTGTACATATGACACAATTACATCATAAATCGAATCTATCGCAGAGTGGGAAAGTCATCACAGCTAAAGGTACTTTCACATACGTGTGTAAAACGCACGTCCTATAGTACCTCCCTAGTGTAGATACGACTTAATGTTGAATGAATAAACTTCAATTACAATATTACGAATTAAAAATAACCTCAAGCGAAACATGAACGGTTGATGTTACGTTGACTCGTAAACATCCGGGGATCTGTTACTCATGCCGGCTTCATTAATAAAATATGGGAAGCTAGATGCGATTAAATATTATGTTTTTGAGCTGGGCTTTTTTAATACTATTTTCTGTTAATTATTGATTAATATAATCCGATAACATTAAAAGCTGATTTTATGAGAATCAAGACCATGATGGGAGAAATTATTAAATTTTATTACTTTTGAAAAAAGCGTTCGCTGAGCTTGTGTAAACGTACCTTTATGTTAACGATGACTACGATCTGATGTAAATTAAGGATGAATTTTGGTGCGTGGCTTTTTATGATAATAACAGTGCCACTCACAGTGTAAACGACATGATAATTAATAATGTTCAAGAAAGTAGATTATATTTAAAACAACACAACTCAGCCATAATCAAGTTGGGTAGGCAGAGATTGCGAACCACAATTCATTTACGCAAGCATGCTCGAATAAATTCGACTGCAAGACGTGTAGGTTTGGATTGAATAGTAAACTACTAGCGCTTTGTGAGGTCCAAGTGAGGTCACGGCTTATTCTTAGAATTGTATATAGGTTATCTAATCAAAACAAACCCTGCAGCTTCAAGGTACAATACGTGCTCGTATGTAGAAGCACGCACGTAGACATGCCTACGAGAGTTAAATTAAGTTGTTAAATAATTAAAATCAATTTTTAACTTCGAGATTCTCTCCAGATGTAAAGAATACGATAAAAGGGAAATCAAATTGATTTTAAATAGACAATAGAGATGTCAATTATAAAGCTTAGGTCACGACACTGAAATACATTTATACATTTTAAAGATTCCACGAAGCAATAATTTAGTTTTAAACGTTTGTAGTAAAACGATATAAATAATTTCTGTAGGTAGAATATTGTTGCGTAGACTTCCCTATCTTCATCCACGATACCTGGAACAATTCCAGCGTGTTGTGACGCTTCTTCCGCACGCACACAGGCACACGCGCTGTCACACACGGCGTGGTGACATAGCGTGATCTTGATTAACGACCTCGTGTCATCATGCTCTACGAATAGTGGCTGGTGACGTCACATTCAATGGTTGTAACAAACAGGAGGTTGTAGAGAAGTGGAGATAGAATCTAGAAACGAGATACATTTGTTTTCTTCCCCTTCGACGTTTGAAACTTTTTGAGCTAAAGTAACCTATGTGTAACATTCAAATTTAAAAACCCCTTATACATATGACCTAAAATAATGTTTAAAAGTTGATATTTTAATCAAGCAGCTATTAGTGTCTGGAATAAGTTAATACATGACCAAATGAACCACTTGAAATTAAAACAAAACACTGCAAATAAAAAGCTGATGAATTTATTCAATCTCCCGCAGCCGGTCATCTGGTGGCGGTCCCCGGGACCATGTGCTTGCCGACTATTTTTTTAATATACGCTAAAGTTATTTTTAACGAGACGTTTTAATTTTGCTACTGAATTGTTTACTTTTGATACAGCCCTCCTCTAAAGTGTACACCGAAATATCTTTAAAAAATCCAAAAGAATATTCCCGTTGGTCTAATGGAATTAATTAATTTTCTGATCTTTCTAGACTTTCAGCTCTCGAGTGTTAATTCCTATTATACGTAGCAACGTAATAACATTTCATAAACATTAATTTCTCGGATAAAGTACTTAATAATATATAATAATAATTTAGAAAGTTAAAATTTTAAAAATAATTTCGTTAATAAATGTTTTGACCATATTTGTAAGAATTTTAAAATATGAATTCCTCCATTGCGTTCTTGTGATATAATGCTATTTATATAATGCCGTTTTGTACATACGAGGTCATGCGATCCTTTGTAATTATTACAATTGTTCTGGTTGCGTTTGCGCAGCGCAAATACTGGTACAGGTCGGAGTAAGCTTTACTTTGCTAATTACTAGAAATTATTTACGAGCGGTGTAAATATTTATTGTGGTGCGCACGGTCGGACGGCCGTGTTGTCGCATTCGACTTGCCTCGTAAATGTCGACCTTCGTAAGCTGTCGAAATAGCCCCCCGGCGATACGCGCCTTTGTGTCTTTAAGGTTGTTAAATTAATAGAAAGGTTCGCTTATATGTCGTAAATCATGTGAAACTAAATACACGTAAATATGATGATGTCACCGCGCGCAGAAATAAGCGGCTGATGTGTTTTGTTGCTAATGTTGTAAATATTACCTTGACATTATTATCCACGTGTTATTAATGCAGGAAGCATTGTGGACGAACTTTGGATTGACATATTTTTGATGATAACAATATATTTAATAGTCTTCTAGTTTTTTAGTAACGATTTCTAATAGCTGTCATTATGTAATATTTGTTTGTGTCTTGCAGGTGATGCTGGGCGGGTCGGGGCCGGGGCCTGGGGGAGGGGGCGGGGGCGGGGGCGAGCCGGGCGCAGGAGAGTTGCTCACCGTCACCGTGGTGCGCGACGAGCACGGCTACGGCATGAAAGTTTCCGGTGAGTCGACATCGATGTAGTGACACTGTCTAAAGTTGGTGCGATGTACAAGCCTTTTCACAAAGCTTTATTCTCGTAGACCATTTTTTCTTCTCGTCCTATCTTTAAGTTTATTTGCCTTATTGTACTCGGTAAATATGTGTACCCTACGTGGTCTACAACGATCTTTGGGATTAACTGATGTAGACTCGGCTTTTGATAGATCTCGCGATAGACCTCGACAACCCTGAAATTACTGGGGATGACACTTATTTGAAGCGTCAACTTTTGAAGTGACCAGTTGTTTGTTGCATTTGGGACTAATGTGTTGTGGTTACGTGTTACAGGTGACAACCCCGTTTACGTGCAGTCAGTCAAAGAGCACGGGGCAGCGTGGCGCGCTGGCTTGCGCGCCGGCGACCGCATTCTCTGTGTGGATTCAGTCCACGTGTACCAACATACGCACCAGCAGGTCGTGCACATGATACGAGGTAAAGTACTACATGAATACAAGTTCACGGGTGTTTCCCGTCGGCGCAACGATCTAACCTGTAATGGGAAACAAACATTTATTGGGCCGATTAAACGACTAACACCCAACTCCATCTACTGCACACCTCTAAAGATGCTTGAAAGGTGTTATTACACAAAAACATGAAATTCACTATAAGCAAAGATTGAATGTCAAAGGAAATAGTTAATATTCATAATGTTGTGTTTCAGCGAAACCAACAACAGTGCTGACTGTCCAGCAGAACAGCTCGCGGACCAAGATGCCCATCACTGCGCCACTCCCCGTCAATGTAAGTCTACACTTAACGTATGTCTAGTTTAAAACATGTCTAGTTAACCTTTACTTATAATAATCACGTAGCAGTGAAGAGGATGAGATTAATTTTGTAATTCATAATATAAACTAATTCACATAGCATTATATTCGTTATCCTCTCTCAACAAGTTGTTGCATCTGTACAAACAAATGTACGGATTTTGAGGTCGTCGACGAAATTCCACAATTGACGTATCTTTGTATAATTCACCTGTTACCTATGCAATAGTTAACACATATAATCGAGTGGATCTTTCGTACGTATGTATGTTATGTATTCATCGATGCATACGAATTTATAGCAGCTATGGTGACAGGACTGTACAGTCAGCAGCATAATTTTGTATACGTTTACAAAACTTTTGAAACTTGTATAGGCCGTCGTCTTCAAAAATTCTACAAACTGCACGTATTAGTAAAGAACATGTACCCATGGTCGGAAGTACAGGGATCGATTCGTGCATACATATTTTTAAAAGCCAAAAAGTATACTAGTTTCTAAAGCTAAATAATGTTTACATATTTATGTAGCTGACTGTACATTGGATTCTAAGTGGGAAGCGAATTTATTTCTTTAACTGTACGCGTTGTTATGTTATCCGGTCTCTTTGCAGCCGGAGAACCAGCGTCAGCTGGAGGAGTCGAAGGTGCTCACGATGAGGCTCATGCTGCAGAAAGAGCAGAAATACATCAGGGAGCTGCGAAGTCAGTTGCTTTGTATTTCATACATATATTGGCTAAGTACTCACAAATCTCTAGAAAAAGACTATTACTCTAAGTTTTTAGCCTTGTACAATTGAAGCACCAATAGCCTAATGGTTAAGTGTATGAATATTCCATCACTTGGTCGTGAGTTCGAATTCCTTTCGACTATTGTCTTATCTAACCTAGCACAAGTCTAGTTAAGTTGTTCTGGTAACGTTATCCTCTATGTTGAAATGATCCGTGTAATGTGTTCAGATGAAGTGCAGAAAGTACCAGATGTAAGGAAGCAGGCGCAGTTAGAGGCGGCCATACAGAGGTGCTCCAAACTGCAACACGAAATTGACACCGTCATGGCGGCGCAGGTGAATACTACCTAGTAGCTATTGTAATAGAGTTTATTATAGCTTAGGATGTTTTGTAGTTTCATTGAAGTGCTGTTGTTTTTGAGTTGCTGCTGTCAATTTTATATTTTAATTTGCGGCCCAAAAATTTGTTAAATATTTTGTAAAAATTGTGTGACATTTTATATCCAAATTTGAAAAAAGAAAAAAGTGAAGTGCAGGGTTTTTGGGCTCCAAAAAGCACAATACATGTTGTGTATTTTTTCTTTTTAAAGCACAAATAATTTGGTGATTAATACTAATTAACACGATTAGTGCTAAGGGTCAATAACCTTACGTTTTATGTCTTGTAACATGTCCGCTTTTGTGTTTGTTTTATGTATGTGTCACGTCTATATGAGTTTTTAAATAAGGTGTCAAAATGTAAGGTTATAATAGCAATATATTTCGTCTATGTGTATATTTACAGATTTGACTCAAATCCAAAGGATTGGTAGCCTTAGCTCTCAAGTTTATTTATACGTATGAGAGATTTACAAGTACATTATTAATTTGTTACTCGACTCATATTTACAAAACAGAAATAGTAGTAGTGACATAGGTAGGGCCTGGAGAGACGCGACTGCATATAACAGCGCGGTTTGATGTGGGTCATAGGGCGAGAGCGCGACCTCGGCCGCGCCGGCGCCGGGCACCCCCCGCGGCTTCCTCAGCGGTCTGCCGCGCTCGCTCAGCAAC